AAAAAAAAAAGAGAAAAGAAATGACTGGCTGGTTCTCCTCACCCTGCAGATAGGGGCTGGTGGGAGATACTTACTTGAGCTGAATCAGCATCACCAGTAGAATTTTGCTCACTTGCTGTTACATTCTAGGGAGAAAGCAGAAACAGATGGGGGATAAAACAACTCAGCTTGCTGTCCTGTTCCTTCAGCAATACTGCTTTCCTTCAAGCCCAGTCTGACCTGCTCTCATCATTCCACACAAGACCTGTCTTCTTCCCTGTAGTTCCACCCATGTCCTTGGCTCTATCACTTTTCCTGCTTTCTTCCCTGGGTTCTGTTTATCATTCTGGCCTCACAGCCCTGCAGTTCAGCCTCTCTGTGGCTCACCTGCACCATGACCTGGATTTCTGAATCAATTTCCTCCAGGGCTTCAGCAGTCATGTGCATCAGCCCTGCTCCCAGGAAAACACCGGCAGAAACGCAGCCCAGGAGGCTGAGGAACCGCTGGTGACGACCTAAAAAGAAGCAGAAGTTACAACCCCACTGGCAGTGAGGAGATAGGCAAAGGTAAGGAGCAACAGGTAGCACCCAATACCCCAAGCGTAGGGGTGTTGAAAGAATCAGAGCAAGGCATCAGGACAGGGTGGAGGTGAGACTCAAGCTATGGAAGAGAGGTTGGGATAGGGCTAACCTGTGGCTGCAGCAATCTGGAACCATTTGAAGCAGATGGGAATAAGGCCACAGCCCAGAGTGAGGGTCAGCAGGGCAAACAGGCAGCTAATTTTCACTCCCAGTAATGTCTCCATCTCTGGAGAGTAGAATAAGCCAAAGACTCAGGACGAGAAATGGTATTATAATCTTTGGAGCCGAAGTGGTATCTTAGGTGGTTGAAGGTGGAGTGTTCACTCTTGTCACCTCTGCGTGTACTTCATTAGATAGCTGACTTAGGCCCTGCCTTAGTTTCCATCCCTCCCCCTAAATGGAGGCCCCTCCCCTGGCTCATGCTGTCCTGAGCTTGGAAACCAGAAACTCCACTCTCCTTACTCTTCAATTACTTGAGTAATTCAAGGGCTGTGACTTGTCTTAGTTAATGCCTGGGGTTGGTTTGATCCAGAACTGTTAAGCCTATTGTTGTGGTCCGAGTAAATCAAAGGGGCAGGGAACTAGTAGAAAATTTATTTCTGAGTTCGAATCCAGGGAGCAGAGCAGGACTTAAGGTCTTTCTAAAATAGTTCTGCTCCCCCTCTATGCTTTTATAGTTCATTTTTATAGTCCAGAGTTGTCGGTACCTATACATTAACCACGTGACCAGGGGAGCATTGTTAAAACTTAAAACTTAAGTTACAGCTGCATTTTACATTTTGATAGTGATATTTAGAGTAAAGAAAGTTTACAAGGCCTAGGACATCATGCATTGCAAAAGTTATGGAAATCACAAGACTTATGACATATTGATATATATATACATATATAGTTCAAAGAGAGGGAGTAAATGAGTTTTACATCTTTGGACTTAGTCTGCTGGGAAGTCAAGGATCTCCTGAAGCTACTTAATTAGGAGTACATGGAAGGCTAGGGGACTCTCAGTAATGTGCTCAGGAATCTGCAGGAGCCCTGGAATCCCCACCACACCCTTCTCTAGGGACTGTGGCAATATGGAGGGACATTAGTGGATTTCTGTATCACTATGGTAGCTATTTCCCAGCTATTTTGTGTTGGAAACAATCTGATCTTGCCTCTCAGGACATTTTGAGGCAGATTATTCAATGTAGGTTAAACATAGAGGATAAGCTTCCGTAGGCGGGCGTGGTGGCTCACGCCTGTAATCCCAGTACTTTGGGAGGTTGTGGTAGTAGGAGGTCTAGACCAGCCTGGGCAACATAGCAAGATTCTGCCTCTACAAAAAAAGAAAAAACAAAATAAAAATAATTATAAAAGTCTCACAAAAGTAGTCTTTAAACTTTTTTTTTTTGAGTTGGAGTCTCACTCTGTTGCCTGGGCTAGAGTGAAATGACACTCCCATTGCCACCGCAGCCTTGACTTGCTGGGCTTAGGTGATCCTAATGCCTCAACCTTCCAAGTAACTGGAACTACAGGCACACACCAGCATGCCCGGCTAATTTTTTGATTTATTGTAGAGGCGAGGTCTCAAACCCTTGAGCTCAGGCAATCCTCTCACCTTGGCCTCCCAAAATGCTGGGATTACAGGCGTGAGCCACCGCACCCAGTCAAAAAAAGTTTTTTTTTTGAGTAGGAGTCTTACTCTGTCATCTAGGCTGGAGTGCGGTGGTATGTTTCTCATGACCACTGCAGCCTCAACTTGCTGGGCTCAGGTGATACTTCCACCTCAGCTTTCCAAGTAGCTAGAACTACAGGCATGTGCTACCAGCTGATTTTTTTATTTGTTGTAGAGATGAGGTCTTGCCAAGTTGCCCAGGCTGGTCTGGAACCCCTGAGTTCAGACAATCCTCTCACCTCGGCCTCCCAAAGTGCTGGGATTACAGGTTGGAGCCACTGACCCGGCCAAATTTTTTTTTTTAAGATTACAAAATATTTCTCTTTGAGGACATTTTTTTTCATCTGGGGGAAAAAAAGTTGCTCCGGGTGAGATCAGGTGAATAAGGAGGGTGGGACACAGGGGTCATGCTGTTTTTGGTCTAAAGTTGATAAACACTCAGGTGGTGTCAGCAGGTAGTGGAAGAACCACTGGTCACCTGTTTGTCACAACTCTGAACTTTTCTTCTGCAAATCGTGATGCAACTTTCTCAAAACTTCTGGATTAGAATCCATGGGTTCTCAGAACACTTACCCAGTGAGGGAAGCCTGTACTACAAGGAAACCACCTTCCAAAAAGATAATTCTGTACGTTCTTTGGGATCCCCTCCCTGTATTTGTTCTTGTGAAACTCTTGGGAGTTTTAATCATATAGACTCGAGAATGTCTGTAGGTTTATTTTATGGTTGTTTCGTTTAATAAATTGCCTAGACAAACAGAAACAGAAGCGGTTATCTATAACCACTGATATAGAAGAGTACTATCAGAAAAACCATTAAAACAGAGGAATTGGCAGGACTTGGTGGTTCAGCCTGTAATCCCAGCAGTTTGGGAGGCTAAGGCGAGAGGCTTGCCTTAGCCCAGGGGTTTGAGATCAGCCTGGGCAACTAGGTGATAACTCAACTCTACAATAAATCACAAAAATTAGCAGGGCGTGGTGGTGTGCGTCTGTAGTTCCAGCTACTAAGAAGCCTGTGGTGGAAGGATCGCCTAAGCCCAGCAGGTTGAGGCTGTAGTGGCCGTGAGCATGCCACTCACGGCACTCCAGCCTGAGTGACAGAGTGAGACTCTAACTCAAAAAATAAAAAATAAAGTAAAACAGAGGAATCAGGCCAGGCGCAGTGGCTCAAGCCTGTAATCCCAGCACTTTGGGAGGCTGATGTGAGAGGATTGTCTGAGCTCATAGGTTTGAGACCAGCCTGGGCAACTTGGTGAGACCTCGCCTCTACAATAAAAAAAAAAAAAAAAAAAAAAAAAAGCCGGGTGTGGTAGTGTGTGCCTTGTAGTTCTAGCTACTTGGAAGGCTGAGGTGGAAGAATCATCTGAGTCCAGCAGGTTGAGGCTGTGGTGGCCGTGAGCATGCCACTGCATTCCAGCCTGGGTAACAGAGTGGGATTCTGACTCAAAAAAAACAAACAAAGCAAAACAAACAAACAAACAAAAACAGAGTAATCTCTCAGATACGAACATAAGTTAATTTTTTTTTTTTTGAGTTGGAGTCTCAGTCTCGCCCAGGCTGGAGTGCAGTGGCACACTCACAGCCACCACAGCCTCGACCTGCTGGGCTCTGGCGATCCTTCCGTCTCAGCCTTCCAAGTAGCCGGAACTACAGGCGCGCGCTACCACATCCGGTAATTTTTTATTTATTGTAAAGACAAGGTCTCGCCAAGTTGCCCGGGCGGGTCTCGAACCTGTGGGCTCAGGCAATCCACTCGCCTTGGCCTCCCAAAATGCTGGGAATAGCCAGGCTCGGTG